GGGGGAGCAGAGCCGCCTCCGGTCAATCTGCTTGGCCGTTCCCGCAGGATAAACCTTTTCCTTCCTGCCTGGCAGCGTGTGAGGAAACGGCTGCCTCGTGGCGAGGACGGAGCCCCTGCGGAGCCCCGAGCGCTCCCGGCCTCTCCTGCTCCCTGGGACGCATCTTGTGCCCTAATGCCATAGGGAATCCGGTGGCAGCCTTTGGAGCGAGCTCCGCTCGGCCTTGCCTGCCCTGGGAACGGGGAGAACATCAGCATCAGGTGTGCGAGAGCCCCCCGAAACGCTCATGGGGTAACCGAGCTTCCCCAGGTCACTGCTGCATCACTGTAAGGATTCCCACTGTAAGCTATGTGTTTTCGGGAGCAAACGATCGTGTTCCCACGTGCTGCCGGGTGTTGCGGTCTCTGCAGGGAATGAAACGGGGAAGTTCCGTGTCTGGGAAGCTCCGCTCGTTCCGCAGCATTGAAAACAGGCACTTTGTTATCTCCGGGGGAATTGGGGATGAGAGAACTATTTCTGGAAGAGGCAGGGCAATTGCTCCAGAGAATTATTCAGTTGGCGGAAGGATAAGGAGGAAACAGAGCTGAAAGTGGCCTCTGAGGACTGCTGTTTTCAAAGGGAAATTGATGGCCCGGGGCGGCTCGTGCTGCTGCGTCTGGAAGCAGAGGAGCAGCCCTGGGAAGGTGCTGCCTTCCCGGTGATGTCAGGCCGGGAATGCAGTTCAATCGGATGTTTGTGGAGAAGCGCCAAGCACGGCCAAATTGCACAGCCTGCAAGGTTGGGAAAGCCGCGTTTGTGTGTAAACCGCTCCTTCCCCCGGCTGGTTAAGTGGGGTGTTCGAATGCTCTAAGTACCCGAGTGTAAAAATCACGCTGAGGGCCCCGTGGTGCTGTCATGGTGTGCTCTAACATCTAGCCTTGCTTCCCCCTTCCCAAGTTCTGTTGCAGAAGTGACGGGCGCTGGAAATCGGTCGCGAATAGAAGAAGTGCACAGGAAAGGCCGAGCGGGCGCAGACATGGAAGAAATCCCAGGATTGTGTCCCTGCTCCGAGGGGGAGCTCAGCTAAGGAGGACAGCGGCCGCCTTGGGGGGCTGCTCCCCTTGGGGCGCCAAGGCCAGCGCTGCAGCTCGTGCCTGTTCACTTCCCGTTCCGCCGTGCTCTTGTAGGTGCTTTCACAATGTTTTGTTTGTGCTGGTCACATTAGCGACCTCATTAGAAGTGCTGGTGTCCTCTGATGGAAACCTATTCCAGGAAGGAAGTAATTATTTTTCTTGCAGTTATTCTCTTTTTGGTAGCTTAGAAAGCATGTAATTTAAACACCCATGCCTACCAGCCAGGGCAGATTTTCTTGAGGTCAAGAACATCTGGGGCGTTAACCTGTTCTCTGCTTTGGCCCATCCTGGCTTAAGTAAATTGCTTAAATTCCGTGGCTTAGTTGGCCTAATGTAAATGAGCTCCTCGCTGTTCCGGGGAGAGTGGTTGGAGACTTAATTAGCTGTGTAATGTTTGTAATGTTCGTACAACATCTTGAGTCACAGGAGGGCTCCGCAGGCGCGGGAATGCGCTTCCGGATCCGATGCTGCGGTGCAGTCCTTATGCTATGACTGTGCTTGAATCCCTAAAAACCAGCAGGAA